TTCTCGAGTGTAATGCAAGCATTAATAACTAAATCTATGATAATGAATTGGTACTAGTAATACAACAAACAACATAGAAAAATATAGGACATGGAAATCAGCTTGGATTCACAAGCATGCACATATCGTTCCATCTTTCAATAGAACAAGAGACAAGGTTTCCAACGAATTGCAAAATTCAATAAAAAATGAAGATTATTCCTGATGCACAACATCCATACAAAACAAATTGAATATATTCTTATTAGAACCAAAGATCATTAAAATTGTCATCAAACACCAAAATGCAGCACCTTGTGACCTGCAAACATTCCCCAAAATTCTCCATTGAAGTTACCAATCATGTGCATGACTGCGTGTTGTAGAAGTAAGATATGTATCCTGATGGACTATAATATCATTAGGGAAAAAGTAATGTACTTATTACATCATCAAACACAAGAAAGTGATGAACCAAATCTAAAAGATGGACTTGTACCTCTGCAACCCATATTATTGAAGCAGAAAATCCTAGGTACAATGAAGCTGAAACCGTCACGTACCTATCACAAGAATATTCATTTTTAAGTATATACAACTTCATCAATTTGATGAACATGATAGGGCTCTATCAAATATGTGCCCACATCATTATTTAGTACAATACTGACAAGCATAAGAATGTTGTCTCGAGTCAAAGAGCAACCACTTTCTGCAAATAGTGGAAAGACAAGGTCTACGCCTAATCTTACCCGCCCAAGTCCCAAACCACATGGACTTTTAGTCTCATGAAATTCACTCAAACATTTTGGGAGCAACTCCCCTCAAGACTTCATCCTCTCAATATCTCTCAAGACTTCATTTTGTGGGCTCCATGTAGCCAACGAAGGTGATCCAAACCGCTCATCTTGTTTGCCCAATAGAATAGAACATATATGCAAAAAATTAACTTTATTGAATATCGATGAGCATATTAACTTATCATATTTTATCTTATAAAATCAATGGTTTTTATTTAGATTCATATGTACCATCCATTTCATAAAATGAAACACGGTCAGTTTTTTTTTTTTATCAGCATGAAACACGATTAGTTAGTGTATCGATCGATGTCCAATCAAGCTAAATTTTAATAAATATATTCTTCTCTTCAACCTATGAGATGAACGGTTTGTATCACAAAACTATGGAGCCCACAAAATAGAGTCTTAAGGGAGTATGGAGAAGATGTAGTCTTGAGGGGAGCCTACTCCCCAACAATTTTGGCTATTTCATCACCTATCAGTGCAAAGACACAGTCACATAAAACTTAAAAAGCACGTTTGTCCTCAACTAAATTAAGACAATACATCAATGGTGAAAAAAATTGTTACCATGTGGGCTTCAAATTCACTGCTATGAACAACCAATACCCAGCAGTCTCAAGAACAAGAGCATTTTTTGTACTCAGGAACCGAACCACCAATGAAGCAAAGAAAGAAAAAACCATAAAAGACAAATACAATATCCCGAGCGAAATTGTCCCTATATCTTCCTCCTGAAACCCAAATTCAAAGTCTAACCCATAAAAAAAAAAACACGCAATTGTTCAATTTATGTCTCATCAATCAAATTTAGAACTCACAGTATTGATTGTACTCTCCAGATTCTGAACAGCACCATAAGCCAAGAACATCAACAAGAAAGCCGAGCTCAGAATATGCACATCTCTGGTATGGTTCTTCTTCGTTAGGGTTTGAGTTTCTGAGTTCTCAGCAGCGAGTGGTGCTTCTTCTTCTTCCATAGCTTCTGAGAAACACTCCAATCAATTGAATTTGCTATGAGAAGATCGATTAAAAACCTAGAAATGGTTGGTGGAGTGTATGAGAGAGAGTGCTGACGAGAGTGGATTGAATCACAAGATATTTGATATGAGGGAGTGTGATTATTTTATAGAACGAATCAAAGATTTTGAATATGAGACGTAGACGGGGTAGAGAGAGAAGGAGGAAGAGGGACCGGAGGTGCATTCCTTTAATCTTGTTTGGTTCGTGAGAAAGTAATGGGAAAAATGAAAATGTTGATGGGAGTGTCCTTGTTTTGACTCCTCTTCGGGTGCTGATTGGCCACTTCTCTGAAATACAGCATTCGTCTGGATGTGGTTTTTTTCTATTATTTATTTTTATTATTATTGTTTAGGCCTTATTTGGAACCAACTTTTTTTTAAAGTAATTCTTTAACTTTGGATTATACTATGATGTAAAAACATTAGGGTTTCGTTTGATAAATCTCTTAAATTATAGTTTTATCCATTAATTTGAGTGTGGTGTTTACTTTGAGCTTTCAACTCATAATTCTACACCCACTTTTCAAAACTCAATTTAAAAAATAATCATTACTTTTCAAAACTCATAACCAAACACATAATTCAAAACTTTTTTAAAACTCCATTCAAATCAATAATTTAATTTTTTAAATATTTTAAATATTTTAAAAATATTTTAATTTTGTTAAGATTTTAAATATTTTAATATTTAAATATGTTACGATTTTTTTAATTTTTTGTAAAACAAACATGCATAACATATATCCAATCTTATATATCAAGTCAACAAACATGACTTGGGGGATATACTATCCAGTGTTTATATCCTATTCATTATATATCCTGACTAAATCCCACATCATATTATATCCTCCATTTTATATCCAACGAAACAAACGGGGCCCTATGGAATGGAGTAGCCATTGTCTTCGAAAATTCATCAATTCATCCGCCACCGGTGGTATCCACGCTTGTTCTAGAAATCGAGCATGGCATGGAGGATGTGTTCATATCAGGTTTCACCCTAGCTGAGGCTCAGGTTGTACAGAACATCATGGCAGCTAATGAAGGGATATATGTCAGTGCTTAAGCAGTCTATCTCATGAACAAACTCCAACACATCCCCGAGATGGGATTGGGAAGGAGCGGCCGGAAAGGCGTAGCAGCATTGGCCGAAGTGCCACACAACCCTCATGCCTTTGGATTGGGTTATCTACCCACCAAAGAGGATTGGATAAGGAAGGGAAAGGAAATGGCTGGAAGAGCCAAAGCGAAGCAAGCTGGGAAGCCTTTTGAGTTGATACATAGGCCCATTCAGGGTACCCTAAACGGACGCTTCGTCCGGGAGGGAGAGGATTTTCCGTTTTGCGGCTTCCAAGAACCGTGGCTGAACGCGGAAAAGAAGGGCGTGCCAGGTTTCGAGATCTTCTTCGACTTGAAAATATCCGGGGAAGACGTTGCCGAAGAGCAGACAGACCCGTCAGCTGAGTTTGAGCAGTGTAAGGAAGCGGATTCCGAAGGCGCCGAGATTGAAATGGGGGTAGCACTAGCATGTCTACTTTCAGATCCTCCGATCGTACAGAAGTGCTTGGGGGATAACTCCTCGGTATGCATGATCGGGAATGAAACGGCTGCGGGCCTACCATCAACTATTTTGGATGCATCCATCGCACCCTCTCTCACCTGGCAATACGAAGAGGGATTTTTATCAAGCAACATTGGGTCAGGTAGTGAGCCGGAATCTGATTCCACCGAGTCCTGTGAGTCAGAATCAGGTTCCAGCTCGACTGAGTCTGAGTCCGGTATTCCTGGGGGTGATAACCCGGATGCCACAGTCCTGTCTAGGTCGTCATTTTCTTTCTCTTTTGAGTCTGTTGTAACAGAAGAATCGGACGGCTTGGAAGTATTTAATGAGAATGATGTGGATGTGGTTTCTGAGTATTTTTCTGTGCCTTTGATTTATTGCTTAAATCAGGATTTTCAAAATTTTGATGAAAACGACGAGGAAGAAATTTCCCCGGTTTTGCAACGGTTAATTGACCAAGAGCAGGAAAGATTTGTTAAACCCTTAATGGGTGAAATCACCACTGTGAATGTTGGTACTAAGAAGGACCCGCAACTGGTCTAGATCGGGTCCACGTTATCTTCGGAGGAATGCGAGCGCTTAGTCGCTTTATTAAAAGATTTCAAAGATGTTTTCGCGTGGTCCTACGAAGACGTGCCTGGAATCGATCCTGAGATTGTACAGCACCGGATCCCTCTTGACCCCGAGGCCCGACCCGTCAAGCAAAAACTCAGAAGAATCCGCCCTGACTGGGCCATCAAATTAAGGAAGTGGTCACCAAGAAAATCGACACAGGCTTCCTACTGGTATCCGAATACCCAACTTGGTTGGCTAACATCGTTCCAGTGCCAAAGAAGGATGGCAAGATCCGAGTATGCGTGGATTTCAGGGATTTGAACAGAGCTAGTCCAAAGGACGACTTCCCCTTGCCACACATTGATGAGTTGGTAGATTTCACAGTGGGGCATGCTTTGCTTTCGTTTATGGATGGCTTCTCAGGCTACAATCAGATAGTGATGGCACCAGAAGACCAGGAAAAGACTGCCTTCACCACCCCATGGGGGACATACTGCTACCGAGTGATGCAGTTTGGATTGAAGAATACTGGAGCTACATATCAACCGGCCGCGACCACAATATTGCATGACATGATCCACAAGGAGGTTGAGGTATACTTGGACGACATGATTGTCAAGTCCAAAGAAAGAGAGGGCCACTACACCGCCTTACAAAAGTTCTTTCAAAGGATCAGAGAATTCCGGCTGCGACTGAATCCTCAGAAGTGTACGTTTTGTGTTACAGTAGGGAAAATGCTGGGGTTTCTTATTACACAGAGATGTATCGAAGTCGACCCTTCCAAAATCGAGGCCATCTTAGAAATGCCACCACCAATGACTGAAAAGGAGGTGCGAGGCTTTCTGGGTAAAGTGCAATTCATAAGACGGTTTATCTCAAAATTAACCTTGACTTGTGAACCACTTTTTGGTCTCCTGAAGAAAGGCAAGAAGTTCCAATGGGACGGCCGATGCCAAGCTGCTTTTGAACAGATCAAGAAATATTTACAGAACCCGCCCGTGTTGTCGCCACCAGAGCTGGGGAAACCGTTGATATTGTACCTTTCAGTGACTGAGACTACTCAAATGATTGTAGAGAGAGCTTCCTGGAATTGTAAAAGGCTGTGGATATTTGTGTGGCTGCTCATTATGCTTTTTTTTTCCAAGGTAAGTTGTTTTATCTCAATTTTTTTTATTTTTTTATTTTTTTGTGGTCATTTGGCTGGTTTTTTGCATTTTGTTTGGTTTACCATACAATTGAATGGTATAAGCAGATACTCAGTGCCTATGAGTTTGAGTTGCATGCTGGTGGCAAAACTAGACACTTGAATAACCACATATACTTGGAGAATGGGAAGCCAATATATAGTGTAATCCAAGAACTCAAGACTGCACCACATAGTGTACTAGATGAAGTGGTAAAGAAAGTTGCCGGTTCATCTGTCAATGAAGAGTCTTTCCAGGCTTGGAAAGGTGATACAGATTCCAAGCTTTTGATTTACTTTTTAGTGCTTTAGGCATAAGCTATTCATTTCACAAAAGCTCTTCTTTTTAGTTATTGAATTGATTTTAACATTCACTTTACCCGCAGAAAGTCTCCAAGAAAACAGTCATATGGTTAAAGCTGAGAAGAGACGTCACATCAGTGTTCCTGGGATGCATCATGCTACCACAAGGTACATGAAATATTTTATTTTGGGAATTATCTCATTAATATATTTTATATTTGGTTTTGAATGTTTGGTCCCCTGTATTTGGGAATTTAAGGTTAGGCCTTTTGGTGCTAGTAGAGTTCTTTTCAGATTTTAAAAATACTTGTTTAACATGTAATAGTTCATTTCGAGCTTACAAATTTATTATCCAATAGGATGTGTTGTGTACATAATAAAGTTGTTTGGTGCTGTGCAAATAATAACAGGAAGGTGAAACTTGAGTACATGTGTGTCATCATATACTGCTAGAAGACTCATGCTGTATATACATGTCATATATTTTGCAAGTATAAAAGTGTACGATGTTCTTTTTGACAGTACATTGCCATTCTACTAATGCATGGTTGTGGTGATCTTAATTGTGTTAGAGATTATGGTTTGTGGCCATAATCGCTTAAGAGATCCACCAAGTAGCAGGTTTCTATCAGTTTAGGATTTTATGAAGCATAGTTTTTTGAAGGCTCCTTATAGTTTATTTATTTATTTTGATTTTGATTTTTTATACTTTGTGTGGTCAAAGAATTGTTTGGTTATTATTTCAGTGGCCAACAACATCACTAAACTGAAGCTTTTGGCTGCAGTGGTCAAACGATAGAAGACAGCCTTTGCCCTACTTTGTCTTCCTATGTTCCGAACTACAATTTTAAACAGCAAAACTGTATAAGGAGGTGCTAGAGGGGAAGAAAAAATGGGTGGCTAAGAAGTTCCTTCTCTCTCAATTTGTTTTTTCTTATCTATATTAGTTAATTCATATTTCTGAAGCAGTCAAGATTCTTTTTCATAGAATTGATTACTAAAATGAAATTCATCATTCTCTCTGTCATTGTAAAAAAAAAAAAAAAAAAAAAAAGTGCAGAAGGTCGTACCAACAAAAGGTAAAACTTATTCTCTCTATTCTTTCTCTCCCTGGTCAAGTGTCTTATTTTTCTTGGTACTTTTATGGAAGTCTGCTTCTAATTTTGGGATTTTTTGGGCTTGGCTTGAAGTCTTATGCTTATTGAAGTTTTGCACATTGATTACAGGGATAATGATTTGCATCGATTACTTTTCATGCCTAATGGACTTTTAGATGGTGCTGAATTGGCTTACTATTCCAAAGGACAGGTGGTTTTTTCGATGCACTCTCTTCTTTTGCTGATGTGTTTATATTCTTCTCAATTTCTTCATTTTATATATTTTATTTTTTATTGCAAAGAATACTTGGGGTCTACGAACAAGGAAATGAAATAGTTTGTAGTTGTTGTCACACTGAGGTAAGTTGTTGGCACAACACTTATTGACTAAAGGGCTAGGATCCCCTTTTCTTCGCCTCCCTTCTCCCAAACATTTATAGGTCTCAGTTATGAGATTATTTTCCTTTGTGAGCAGATTAGTCCTTCGTAGTTTGAGGCTCATACTATATGGTCTGCTAGACACCAACCGTGAGTAGCCTTAAAAAACTTTTCATTGGTTCGGTGATTGTGAGTACGCTATGCTGAATTAATATTTGCCATTGTTTACTCTAGCTACTGGAACATCTATACTTCTAGCAGACTGACGCTTCACGATATAGCTCTGTCATTGGCTAATGGAGAAAATCTGGCTATTGGAAGCAGTGATGATATGTGTGCAGCATGTGGAGCTGGAGGAGATCTGATTATTTGTGATAGATGCCCTGGGGCTTTTCATGTAGGTGGGTATTTCCCTTGAATGTACTCTCTCTGTTCTTGTTGTGATTGATGTTCATATTGTGTGGTTCTCATATCTACGTTATACAGCAAACATTTAATTTATTTCTTATTTGGTGTTCTAAGAATTACATTCCACCATTGAAGTGACTACTACGCACTAAAAGTAGAATAAGATAACCTATGTAGATACTAGAACAGTTCATAAAAAAATTTGTAGTGTAGATATGTCATGGTTTGGTTGTGTGTTCATTGTCATTCATTAAGGGATATATTTTCTCAATTCATGTCAACTTTTTAAGCTTGTATTTTTTTGGTTTCATTTTGTCTAATGGCCCCATTTGGGAACACTTATGAGTCAGTTGTTTTTTTAGCTTATTTGCTTAAAAAAAGTTGGGATATTCGCATAACAAAAAAGCTATGTGACAACTTATTTAGCCACCAAGCTGAACTTTTTTCACACATTATCAATAGAGTCTTTAAGCCATACCTAGATGAGTTTGTGGTTGTTTTCATCGACGATATATTGATCTATTCCAAAAGTGAAGTTGAGCATGAGAAGCATCTAAGACTTGCCTTACAGATCTTGAGAGATAGAAAGTTGTATGCCAAGCTTAGCAAGTGTGAGTTTTGGCTTTCCAGCATTTCATTTTTAGGACATGTGATTAATGAAGAAGGTATTTAGGTTGATCCTAGCAAAATTGAAGCCATTGTGAATTGGCCAACACCGACTAATGCGTCTGAGGTTCGTAGTTTTCTGGGTTTGGTAGGTTATTACAGCAAGTTTGTGAAGGACTTCTCGAAGATTGCAGTACCATTGACACAATTGACTCAGAAGGGAGTGGCATATGAACGGATCGAGGGTAGAGAATCAGCCTTCCAGGAACTTAAGGCAAGGTTAGTGACAGCACTAGTTCTCGTATTACCATCAGGTAATGAGGAATTTCAGATTTATAGTGATGCTTCACATAAGGGTTTGGGTTGTGTATTAATGCAAAGGGGTAAGGTTATAGCATACGCATCTCGCCAGTTAAAGCCCCATGAAAAGAATTATCCTACCCACGATTTAGATCTAGCAGCCGTAGTGTTTGCCTTGAAAATTTGGCGCCATTACTTGTATGGAGCTTCTTGCCAAGTTTTCACCAACCACAAGAGTCTGAAGTACTTGTTCACTCAGAAAGAATTGAATATGAGGCAGAGAAGATGGCTTGAGTTATTGAAAGACTACAATATGCGGATTCAGTACCATCCAGGTAAAGCAAACTTGGTGGCCGACGCTTTGAGCATGAAATTAGTTGGGGGTTTGGCATGTTTAGCAATGATTTTAGTGTGTTTAGCATATTGAAAGACTACAATATGCGGATTCAGTACCATCCAGGTAAAGCAAACTTGGTGGCCGACGCTTTGAGCATGAAATTAGTTGGGGGTTTGGCATGTTTAGCAATGATTTTAGTGTGTAGACACCCCATTTTTCACCGTCCTCAAGACTTTGACATCACCGCTCGAACACTCGGTGAGTACTCATGTTTGTGTTTCGTTTTGAGTTCCCGGAGGTCTCGGCTACACGCCTTACCTCAGGATCTCTCAACTCGACTGTTCTGCGTTTGGTTTTGCATCAAACACTTGTGTTTTTGCTTCTGAGGGTAGAAAGTAGCTTGTTAGCTACCCCTGACACCCACCGGCCTTGGTTTGAGGCCACCGGCTATGTTTTGAGGCTACCAGCCATTGGTGAATTATACCATTGGCCGGTCGGCATTTAGTATGGCTGGCCAGCCATCTGTTTGGCCGGTAACCTGCTTTTCTGGCCGGTAACACCTTTTTACCTTTTTCAAGCATGGTGCATGCCAACTGTGCCAGCTGGAATGCACCAAACCTACCCCGGGGCATACATGTGGTTGTTTTGCCCCTTTTGCCCCCTTTTGGTCAAAGCTTCTTGAGGAAGCTTGACCCTTTGGCAAAGCTTCCTCAAGAAGCTAGCCAGCTGTCCTAGCTTCCTCAGGAAGCCTTGCCCACTTTGCCCCCTTTGACTCTTTTTTGTTTAGCTTCTTTGAGAAGCTTCATGGCTTTCCCTTGTCTATATAAGAGCCTCTCCTCCTCCTTTGTTAGGGTTGAGCAAAAAAAACCAGAGCTATACACATATATATCTGATATATATCATCCTCTCTCTCTATATCTCCCCCTCTCTCTTCATTTTGTGTGGTTTGAGGGCCTAAAGTGTGTGTTTGTTCTTAGTTTTGCACACAAACACACACTACTACACCATACTTCAAATTTGAGAGGCTTTGGGGGTTTGCTCTTGAGGTTTTGGACTGGTTTCGATCAAAAGAAGAATGCTGCACTTGTTGTTCATCAAGGGTTCTTCAAGGGTAACTCTTTTACTTTAGATTCCCCAATCTTGCACTAGACTTTTTCCTGTCTTGCTCATTGTTTTAGACTTTGTGTATAACTGAAAAAAGTCTTGTATTTGCATGCTTAAGATACTTCATTAAGGTTGTTTTGGTGTTGGGGGTCGATCTCCCCCCTCTAAGGCCTTGTTTGGCCCTTTTGGTGCCTTCTTTGCTAAGCTTTGGTTATTATTGTGTGTTAGTGGTGAAGAAGAGGTTTTGAGGTCTTGCATAGGGGAGGGACACCCCTCTCCCCTTGTGTCTCTTTTGTTTGTGTTTAAGGCTTATAAAGGTAGCATGCATGCCTAGTTGTCTTTGGCTCCATTTCAGAGGTTTTTGGGTGTTTTTTGGTCATATTACACCTCTGTCCCATGTTGGTTTGTTGACCCTTTGCATGCATAATACACTTGCTTTGTATTCCCCCATTTTGCTTAGAAATGCATCTTGCCATTAGGCCATCATGCATGCATTTTTTTGCCTAGCTTTGTGAAGTTTTTGGTCCTATTTTGCCATGCTTGAGGTCTGTTGGGTGCTGATTTGGTCATGCCTTTCATGCTTTGTATAGTCTCTTTGCATTCTAACATGTTGGCATCGGGTGTGTGAGTCAATGGCATGCATTACCTTGGCTATTTCAGTGATTTGGACTCACTTATTATGTCATTTCAGACTATGTTTTATGCTTACATGCTTGCGTTTGTTATCCTTTCAATGCCTTGAAGAGATGCGGTCTTATGCTCCATGTTTGAATCCTTGTGCATGCCTATGTGTTTGAGTCCTTGGGCTGCCATTCATGTAGGTTTTAGGGTGTATTTTGATGCATTAAAACTCTGTTTTTGGTTGGAAAGTCCATGCCATGTTTGGTGGGGGGGAGGTATAGAGTAATGCCCTTTTGGTGACCTTGAATGCCTTTGTTTTGATGCCCATTTCGTAGCATGTTTTTGGCCATGATCTATGCATGTTCCAGTCCTGTTTTAGAGTCCTCTAGGACTGTTTTAGGTTATTTTGGTACATTGGGGTTTGATTAACATGGCCATGGTTTGACCTCTCTTGGTTGGCTTCAAGTTTGGATCATTGTTGCATGCCTTGCTTGCATGAATGGTTGATTTGGCATCTTCCTCTATGCATTTTCAGAGCTTAATATGTTAGCCTAACATCCATGTTTGTCATCTTGTGAGTGCCCCCTGAAAGCTGCCTTTCATGCCTTAGTCTTAGGCTCATTAGTTTGCATGCTTATTTTGCATGATTGGCATCATCATTTTAGTGCACTTTGGCCACTGTTTTGGGAAGGTGGCTGAGGTTCCTCCATCCTAGTGTAAGTTCGTGCATTTGTATCTTGTAGTATTCTCATTACGTTGTATGTTTGTTGCATCCTTGTAGCCAATGCATTGTTGCATGTTTACCACTTTGCCTAGTTGCCTAACTAGGTTGTATTGTAGCATTGCATGTT